GCGTCGGCCCGCGAGCGTAGCGGTTGGGCGCGCGCTGCGGCGATGCCGCGCGGGGCGCTGGGAACGGCGGCCTCCGGGCCTGCCGACTCCGGGGACGCGGCGGCAGGGCCGGGGCGTCCCACGCGGTGGATGCTGCGGGGCAGGTTGGTGCTGGCTCCTGGCATCTTGCTGTCCCTCTGCCGACTGTGCTGGGGGCGGGTTGCCACTCACCAGGGCGACACCATATCCCTTTGTCGCGGGGTGGGGGGTGACGAGCTGTCCCCGTGATTGACAGCTGTCACTCACCCCATCCTGTCCCTGGGCCACAGAGGGCACCGCTCTGGTGCGGGGCCGGGTGCCTAGGGCAGGGCGGCTGCTTGCGAGCTGTGCAACGAGCTGCGTGGGGCCTCAGCTGAGCCTGAGGAGCTCATGCCATGGCCTGGGCTGGGCAAGCAGGGCACAGGCTGTTCTGGGGTGCGATGGGGCAATAGGGCCCCGTGGGGTGCAGAGGAAGGGCAGGGACGCTGGACATCCCCACGTCGGGGCTGCTGCCAGTGCGGGTAGCACCGGGCGGCCCGACCCCAACTGCCCTCACGTCCTTCCTCCCGCAGAGGCAGCCAGGATGAGCCTCGTGCGCGGGCGCCCGGCCCTCCTGGTCCTTGGGGCACTCATCACCTTCGTCCTCTACCTGCTGCTGCCGGCCTTGTGGCAGGGGGGGCACGCGGGCGGCACGGCGGGCCAGGAGCAGGGCCAGCGCCACATCAGCAGCTTCGTGCGCACGGGAACCGTCACGGGCACCCCAGCCATCTTCTACAGGGAGGCGGCCGTGTCCTGGCCTGCTGGCACCGCCAGCCCCCGTGGGTGAGTTTACCTTCGGGCTCCCATGTTGGGCCTGGGGATGGACCCTCTTTGGCCACATGGCTCTTCCTGCTCACATCTGTGGTGGGGGCAGTGGCACCTGCTGGGGCTGCCCCACGTGAGTTAGTGGATCCATCATGGTCAGGGTTACCCAGTCACACACGGTGGCAGGAGAGGGGTTGGGATCCATGATCTTCACGAGCCCTGGTGGCCTCAGGTGCCCCAGGCCGAGCTGGGTTCCCGTGGGCACAACCTCTTGCCCGCAGCCTTGGCACGTGTCCTCCCCACGCAGGCCGGACGTCCTGCTGCTGCACGGCCAAGCCTTCACCTCCAAGACATGGGAGATCCTGGGCACGCTGGCGCTGCTGGCTGAGGAAGGCTACCGCGCCGTCGCCATAGACCTGCCGGGTAGGACCGCACGCTGGGCTCGGGTGACATCCCCTGTGCTCGGTGGTGTCCTGCAGATTGCACTAGGGTGACATCCCTTGGGCCAGGCTCAGGAGACATCGCACAGGCAGCTCTGAGCCTCCCTTGCCCATGAGCTTGTGTGGGACCTCTCTGGAGAGCTGGGCCAGTCACTGGGCCAGTCTGTCACCCACGTCTCCAATTTGGCTCCCCCCCAGTGCCACCATGTGCTGGAATGGGGTTGGCAGGTCCAGGCAAGGGCACCAGCACGTGCTGGGTGTTGTAAAACTGCCCAGGCTCCATCTGGTGCTGAGCCTGCCCCAACCCCACTCAGGCCACGGGGATTCACCCCCTTCCGACACGGTGGCCACGGAGTGGGGCCGGGTGGCCCTCCTGGATCATGTCCTGCAGGAGCTGGCCCTGCGCCGGCCCGTCCTCGTCAGCCCGTCCATGAGCGGCCGCTTCGCCGTGCCCTTCCTGCTGGCACGGGGTGCCCGTCTGGCCGGCTTTGTGCCCATCGCGCCCGCTGGCACCCGAGACCACGCGGCCGAGCGCTACCAACAGCTCCAGGTATGGCTTCCCCAGGGGCCACGGG